GGTTAGTTAAGGATCGGGGAATTAGGAGTGTCCTCCCGCTTTCCAGCTTTGTGTGTGTGGGCGTCTGTCACGCTGTCAGCCGCTCGGTGTTCCAGCCAGAGGCGAAAATCCCATTTCATAGTTGGGGGGACAATAAACAGTAAAATTTTAGAGAATAATTCCAGGGGGGGGACAAGGAAAAAAAGTTGTAGCCTGTCTTTTAAACAGCATCTTTTAGCCTACCACAATTTGACGCTTTAATCTTCTCTCTGTCTCCCTGTGTGAATATTTATGCTATTAAGTAAAAGGAGAAAACATGTCTGTCATTGTTTAATAGCAGCAAAACAATAAGGCTTCATTCATCAAAGACAGAAACTCGATCTCTCTCCTCTCCCTCTTTTTTTCCCTGGCTCAGGTGTGTGGAATGGATCCTTCATCTCTGGCTGGCTGCAGGAGCAAACCGTTTTTTTTGTTTCGTTGTTTTTTTTTTTTTTACCGGCAGTGAGATCATAACTTTAAAAAATGTTTGAGAGAAAAGTAACCAAAGAAAATGTGTAATACTGAATATTTCGTTTGTTTACAAGGTATTTTGAATTTTGAAACCTGTTTTATTGACCTGTTCGTAATAAATTACTTTTTTTGGACTTTTTGGAAATTGTATGATATTGCTCCAATGCGTTAACCAATCTTTGTGCATAATCACACAGCCTGATATGCCCTGCAAACACGGTGGGACTATTTTCTGAAAGCACAGAGCAAAGAAATGTCTTTTTTTTCTCCCCTGGTCTGCTGTCAGCAGCAGCGGTGGCTGCAGCAGGGATTTCAGCACAACGGACAGCGCGCGTACAAAGACTTGACAAGTGTCTCCTTTAGATGTGTTTGCTGCTAGAGAAATTATACATAATAAATGAAAACAGTGACATTTTCAGTAAAAAACAATGAGTTGAACGTTCATTTCAAGCTTTTGTAGTACAACGAATTTCAGAATTGTGCAAATGACGGAGAGTGGGCGGCAGTGTTTAATGCAGGAAACGATATGGACTTGAAAATCAATTTCGGAGTGGGGGTTTTGGAACAGTCAAATTCGCAAAAGGGCAAAATGCGAAAAAAATGTTTATGAAAACACAACTATTGATTAAAACATACAGATGGAGGTTTTGTGAGGATAAAATGAAAACTTAAAAAAATCATGCGTGTGTATATGCAGGCGTATGCCTGCTGCGACTTGATTCATTTATTCATTTCACTCTTGCGAAGCACACGCACACACGCCTTCCTGCACGTGTAAACGATGGAGACAGACAGTTTGCCAAAGTAATTTGACGCGTTCAGGTGTTAATGATGTGTACATGCACTGTGTGTGTGTGTGTGTGTGCGAGATTCGCACGCATACGCACGTGTAGTGTATGTGTAGCGTTTGTAACGCGCTGTGCACACGCACTGATAAGACGTGTGAGCACGTCATGTAGCGGGCGTGTGTGTAACACTCGTGTCTCCATAGTAACCCTATGTAAAATGTAGGCGTGCGCTCAAGTGGTTTGATTAGATCTGATGTGTCCTAAGTAGGCGCAAGTGACACACACACACACAAACACACACAGTGACAGAGCTAACTGTTAGCATTACAGGGCTAACCTTACCCAACAGTTATTAACATGTTTACCAAAATAGTTGAGCTGCTTCATTATCGATGAGAGATTACTGTCAGATGTTTTATTGCTGCTGCAGGGCTTCTTTTCAAGAAGCTTAATATGATGAGTAGGGATTGGATCACGTTGTGCTGTGTAAGCTTGTGCTAACTGGGCAGAGAGAGCAGCAGGAGAGCCTCTCAAGGAGACGGTCTTTCAGTGCTGCCTTGAAAGGCATCAACAGGTGATCTTTTGCAATCAGCTGTTGCTGACAGTATCACAACATATTTTTGCAAATTCCGCTTGCCCCCACAATTTAATCACAAAAAAAATACATCTAGAAACATGAGAAATTGCATTGCAATTATTTTTTTTTAGAAAACCTGCTGTGAAATCAGGCATTTCAGGTAACAACAAATCCAGAGACAGTCTGTGAAATCCTGGGGGGACAGAAATATCAGTACACATCAACAAAATCATTGGTATGTACATTACATATTTACAAATTTCAGCCTTAGCACATTACTCATCACTCAACACACATTTATATCTAAGCCCTATTTGTACAGGATTGTATTACCTGGGGACTGCTAGGAATTTTTAATAATTGCAGAGGTTGTCTGTGACCTTTATCCCAGGCAAATCTGGCATGTCTGTAATTTGTTAAGTAGAAATTCCACTACAAATTTCCTTTTTAGATTACTGTTTGTTCCATGCAAATTGGCATCTCTGTAAATACTTTGAGTTGTATTAGTTTTTTTTTTCAGTGCCTCTTTCCCACATCATTCCCAATGTTGCACTGAATTCTGTGATGTGCCAGATTCTGTGACCCAGCTCCTAACCCCTAACCCTAGCCACTACGACTCAGAAAACTCAGAAGAAAAAAAAAAAAGTTTTAAGAATCTGACGGGCCACAGATGATGGTGTTACAACAGCAGAAAATTATGGAGGCTACTTTGGCAATTCTAAATGTTTAATTGAATAAATTAATTTAAATTGGATAGTAAAATTTAAAACAAAAAAAAGTTTTGACAAGCTCATGAGATGGATGACATGTAACATGGTGTGGCAGAATTAGTTCTGTTTGTTTAACCCACATTAAAAAAGATAAAAAGGAAGCTAACACTATAGATGCTGTGTAGAGTTTGTGTTGTGTTAGAGTGGAGTTATAAATGACTGTGTGAGTCACATCGGGGGGATGATGTCAGTAAAGTCCCTTGGCAATTCTAGTCATGTGGCTTTAGAAATGTGTTATGCACATTTTAACACAATGTATGTGATTATTTCCAGTCTGCTCTCTGAGCAGTGGTGGTTACCAGTGCAGTTGTGAAGACCAGTATCGTTGGTCATGTGACCAGTGTTTCCTGTATGGATCCTGTGACAACATCACTGATGACACATGTGGATGTATCAGTGCCATTCCTCCTGATGGACAATACTGCCAGCCTGCTAATCAGCACAGTAAGTTGTTTTCTAGTAATTATAGCATTGGAGCCAACATGTGATGTGCCTTACTGTAGAATCCATAGATATTGAAACACAGATGCCTCATTGCCCTCTGGATTGTACGTCAGCAGTGCCACCACATTTAAGAGTGCAAGACTTCCCTGTAAACAAATGGGAGCTGCAGTTTTTCTGGATAAAAAGCACTGTAACATTTATATTTTCCAACCGATTTCAGTGGGTCATTTTTATTTTCACGGGTGTATGATCTATATGCAGTAAAGAACAAAGTTTGCTAGTTTATTATAATCTCAATATTTAGGCTAAAATCACTGCTGGAGGCTCAGAAGAGAAGTGTATGTTAGGCTTAGATGAACTAAATTACTTATGTGGTGTAAAATAATTCCTTGTCATGAGGAATTGTAAAAACACAGTGTGTCAAGCATGAATCTGGTTTATTTTCCTCAGTGAATACTTGTGGAGACATCCCTATATAAAATAATCTAATGTGGATAGACAATTTATCAAGTTGCTACCATGCTAGCTGACTAAAACTGTCTGCCTATTAAATCCTTGATCATAACAAAATATGAATACAGTAATGTGGAATAAACTGTAATGTCCTGAATGAACAGTCCCAGACTTCTCAGACTCTTTTAGCAACTTACCACTCAGAGGGAACTCATTCAGTGACTCCTTTGGCAGCAGCACGGCATCACTCTCTCGCCGTGTGCACGCGGGAGTCGGTGTCGTCCAGTGATTTTGTCATAAACCTTTGGTAATGTAAGCTTATGCAATGCTCACAGTTTGACAAAAACAGCATGTGCAATAGTTATCATAGCATAACAGCCTTTCAAAAAAAGAAATAGGTCTGTTTGTGTGTGTGAGTGGGTCTGATGGTCAACATTAAATGACATAGGTTACAGCAGGATGATTACTGGAGAAAAGGCACAGCACAAAGCTCAGTCATTTAGGATTCCTTCATAAGAGAAGGAAATTGTTTGTTGATTTATGTATATATGTAGGCCAGAGTTTTTTTTTGTATTTGGTACCTGTTTAAATTTGTAATATGTGGAAAATTTCCCTGATCGGGATGATCTGATACATCACAACATCAGTGGAATTTCATTCCAGAGGGAAGACAGATAAGTGATTAAAACCAAGTGTATCACTTCCAAGTTTGATATTTAATTTGTTTTCTGATTCACCATTGAGTTACAAATCTGAACAACAAAAGAAAACACAGCAGCTGATCCAGCTGTAATCGCTGCCGCTGTCATCAGAAATAGACGGTGCTTTACGTGACGCTTTAGGTGACGCTTCAGGTGAAAGGACATCTCATTTCTCCAAAGACATATTTCCACGTTTCTTCTCTCCTCACGTCTCACCCTCGTATCTCTCCCCCGTGTCTTACGAGGGGGGAGCTGAGATGTGAGGAAAAGACGCAAGTGAGGGAAATGTGGATGCAAGATCGGGTATTGGGTTAACCCCATATTTTCAAATGTAACATGCAGAAAAATACAGGAAGCTATATTCAAGCTATTACAGTGTGGAACATATTGTTACAGTGGTAATTATCTTAGAAGTGTTATTCTCTTTATTTGAATTTATTCAGCAGTGTTTTCTCTTCCTGCATACAGACTTTACAGCTTGTCCTCTTACAACAACTCCATCACCAACAGGTAAGACTGAAAAGACAGTATTTTAATTTTGAAAATGTCAAAAAACAAGCACAGTACTGATTGCAAGTTATACTGCAACTGTAGTAAATTTATGAATCTTTCTTTTGAATTCAGCCTCTGCAGCTCCTCCAGTTGTTTATGAATACATCATTTCTGTTGAGCTGAACATCTCAGATGTCACACTAATAAATCAACTCAGGACCATACTGAGAAATATCAGTTACCCTGTCAGCATCAACAACCAAATACAAATCACAAGCATCGACCTCTCTACAGGTAGGATTCACGACTTTCAAAATTAAATTTCAGACTATTTCTGAACGAATAGTAATGCATTTTCAGCTTATTGTGTTAATACATATCTTTTTTGCACTAAAGACCTCTTAACAATTCAAGTAATTAAAGTAAGAAATTAAACATATGTATTAAATGAAATATGTTGTCAACAATCTGACTGTCCAAATCTGAAAGTTTGCTTTCCGAGCACCTCCCCTCCTGCCTGTCTGCCCTATAGGGAATTTTCAGCTCTTTGTATTACATTGTTGACATTGGCATTACAAACTGACTCTGCCCTGCAGCGCTACAAACTGACGCCACTCGGCAGTATATCGTATCACTGCAAAAGGTGCCTTTGTGCGTCAGTATCTGATGTCAAAATCACAGACAAAGCGGCAGTATTTGACAAGTTTGGAATAATAATGGGCTGAATTCTCAATGCATCACAAGTATAAAAACTCATGACATATTCAGTTTCCCTAAATGAAATGCGGTTTTCTCTCCAGTTTGCTCTCCGAGCAGTGGTAGTTACCACTGCAGATGTGAGGACCAGTATCGTTGGTCATGTGACAAGTGCTCTATGTACGGATCCTGTGACAACATCACTGATGACACATGTGGATGTATCAGCACCATTGCTCCTGATGGACAATACTGCCAGCCTGTTGATCAGCACAGTAAGAATTAACAAGCAGTTTTGAATAGGTGTGGAAATAAACAAAGTATTTTCTAAGAAGAGTCAGTGTCCATGTGTGTTTGTAATCAGCATCTACTTCTCTCTCTTCTTCTATACAGACTTCACAGTTTGTTCTGAAACAACACCTGCTCCATCTCCAACATGTAAGGCTAAGAAGACAGCACTTAAAGGGAAATTTCGGTTTATTTCAACCCGTCTGCCATTGTCCTAAATTTGTTTCAAGTGACTAGTGACATAGAAATAATAGTTAGCATGTTAGCCGTTAGCCTAGATACGCGCATAGTAGCGTCAGACCTGTTAAAACGTAAGTGAACGGGCATACCTTCAAGTGCAAAGTTAGTCCACTAAACAAGCTTTTTTTCCACAAAGACCACCTCATATCGTTAGGATAAATGANGTAGCGTCAGACCTGTTAAAACGTAAGTGAACGGGCATACCTTCAAGTGCAAAGTTAGTCCACTAAACAAGCTTTTTTTCCACAAAGACCACCTCATATCGTTAGGATAAATGACAGAGAACATATAGAGAATGACATGTAAACGTGTTGTCTTACCTTACCGGTGTGGTGCCATGTTAGCTGTGCTTTCCAAAGCTTGGCCGAAATATATCTCGCAAGCTCTAGATAAAGCCCAGCTGGATACTAACGTTACTCCAGGTGGAGGTGTCTTGTCCTCAGTCACATCCAGACCTTGAAAATAAGGCTGCAACCAGTCCCATTCCTTGCAACAGAGGCATTCCTCTTCTTTTAATCAACGAAGAACATGAAATTATTATTACAATTGCTTCTTCAAACACCAACATTTCTCTTTACACTAAACCATGTTTCTTTTAATATCTCTGCAGCTCCTCTGGCTCTTTATGAATACATCATTTCTGTTGAGTTGAACATCTCAGATGTCACACTACTAAATCAACTCAGGACCATTCTGAGACACATCAGTTACCCTGTCAGCATCAACAACCAAATACAAATCCATGATGTCAACATCACTACAGGTAACAACAGTAACAAATCCATAGAATTAATTAGCATGCACTGAAAATCATAGCACATTATGTTAACACATTTATATGCTAATATGTCTGATTTCTTTTCATTTTCTGTGTAGTTTGTTACCCAAACGGTAAAACATTCCAGTGCAAATGTGAAGAACAGTATCGTTGGCCCTGTCAGATGTGCTCTACTTTTGGCAACTGTGATGATATAATTGACAATACTTGTGAATGCATCAATGCCATTCCTCCATATGGGCTTTATTGCCAGACAGTGTCCGGTAGGAACTGACCTCTTTTGAATTCCTTTTGTTTGGTATACATTTTTAATTTATTCTTTCTATTTGGGTTCAGTAGGACCTGATAAGTATAAATAACTTGACATTATCTCTGAAGACTAAGGAGTATTTGAAAAAATGATGTCCTCATATGTGGACATTGGATTGCTTTTTAAAAGTGTATAATAAAGTGTCAACCTATTTTTTTTTTGTCAATTTCTGAACAAATTACAAACAATGCAACATTTGTTCACTGTTGAGTAACTTTACAGGTTAGAGGTCAAGTCCAAGTTAAAATCTAAAACTGTTCAAACTGTTCATTTCATTGCCTGAACATGGCTGTGCCATAGCAAAATTGCAAATAATGTAACATATCTAAAAGCCTTGTGACTTGTTCATTTCATAACTCTGTAGGAATTTTCCTTGCTCCACATGCCAAGCTAAAATGCTGCAGTAATACCATAATAAAGTCCCAATGTCCTTAAACAAGATGATAATTAAGTTACAATGTCCCAAAACAAGAACTTCCAAATTATCAGTGTCTTAGCTTGTTACTATTACTACAACTGGTAAAATTTGTGTGCCATATTAAACTACAAACATTATTAAACATAAATAAACAAGCTCAAACATTAAAATTGGATCAGGTTTTGTGATAGGATTGGCTGTATGCTGACTTGGCAGATATGGCTGCCATGTTTTTACATGGATTATTGTATTGTGGTCTCACTACCATTAGATGGCGTATAAAAGGGGTCTGAGTTAAGTGGAATAAAGTATGAAGTACAGAAAACACATAATGTCATGTCCTTGTATGAGGACACAGGGTGACAGGAGATAAAGATTTGAGCACTACTGTTTGTTTCAGAAATTAATCTCTGTTTTTGTTTTTTTGTTGTTGTTTTTTCAAACAGATCTCTTTATTTGCCCATCACCAAATCCTCCAAATGGTATGAAATACCAATGCATTTTTCAAACTTGTATAAATTGTAAAGTATTTATTGTATACCACACTAAATAGAAATACCGTAATGTTTTGGTGCCCCTTTTCTACCTCTTTTCCCAACCTGTCACTTACTCATTCTGTTTCATCAAGGTTCTGATATGTGATCTGAGTCAGGAGAGCTAAAGTTCACAATATTTTTGCTGTTTCAGCAAACAACGGTTTGTTTTCATTTTGTATTTCTAAAATCACAGGTACAACAACTGTTGCACCAACACAGAACACTACAATCTTAACACCACCCCCTACAGTCATAACTGGTAAGTATTGACTCTGACTTCAGTTTTTCAGTTAGCGATAAAGATCTTGCTAGATCATGTTACTACAACATCTACAACTACCACAACAACAAATGTGAACAGTTCAGTAACAAAAGGGTTAACCTTATACTGTACAAGCTAACACTTCAGATAACACCAGTGTATGCACATCTGTAGTGCTATCATCACCTCCGATGCATGGCACTGCAAATAATAGAGCAATAGTGGAATCCATAGTATATGAGTACTCCATAGTGTATGAGTAGTCCATTAAATTGATTGTAACAAACTGATATTTAAAGACTCGACACCTGTTGTTACAACAGATCTAATCGCCACAACAGCTATAAACACTGTAATAAGAGATTTGTTATCATTGTTGTGATGTCATTCATTGCTCTAACAAAAACAGCATGTAGCAAAAACATGAAAGCCTTATGATTAGTGTTTCATGGTTTAGTCATTTATCTTATGTAACACATGGTCATAAATTGCCTTTTCAGACACAACACTGATTTATACAACAAACTTGAACACAACACCTGTGACTGTAGTGACCAGTAAGTACTTACAGATAAGGTATGAGTAACACTTCAGATTCAACACCTGTTACTACAACATTTTTGTCAATTTTTTTGTTTAACAATCTCTAAATTAAATTGTTAGACTGGTCACCTACAATAACAGTATACTACATATCTGAACACTATGACTCTTCAAACTACAGCAAGACAAAATTGAACTGAAACAATTCAATGTAATAGTTATTTGTTTTCTTTATTGGCCTATATATACATACATACATACATACATACATATATATATATATATATATATATATATATATATACATATACATATATATCCTGTTGCCTGACAGGCCATGTCCCCACAGTATTAACCTGGGGCCATTCATTGCATGGTGTCCCTATGAGATGCAGCCTTTTTTTTTTTTTTTTTTCCCAAAAATGGTTAACAGGCCAGGCTTTGTACAATATGTTTCCCAGACTTACAGTAGTTGCTGGAACGTGAAGAAAATTTCCTGCCCACCTAGTTGTCAGTAGTTAATATTTCAATAATTTTAACAGCGTAAATGCTGATATTAAATTTCACCTTTGGAGTTCAAGAAAAAAAATACACTGTCAATAATAATAACAATATATCAGAAATGTTGTGTACTAGTTTCTTCCAGGTCATCATTGAAGTAAGGCTATATGAAGTTTACCCTGAGTAAAATATACCAACATGATCTCATCCTATTTTGTCATATTTTGACGACTGGACAGTGGCAGCCTTTTGCATTGTATCTTGACACGGATCTTGATGCACAAAGGGTTGATGGTAAATCACGAGTCAACTCACCTGATTACAGTCAACATCACTAACAACTCACATGTCTAATGAGCGACTAATGACTCAAGTGACTGATTAACAAGTGACTAAAGACTCATATGACGAAGCTAACTGACTAATGACTTCCGGTTTAGGCGTCATGGTGTAGAGACACGCCGAGTCTCACTCCCGCAACTGACTCTTTAAAAACTAAGTAACTTCAGTTTTGTTACATACAGAGCAGACTTAATCACTTTAAGTGATACACTGACGAAACATGACAGGCAAAGTAACTAGACAAAAAAAGAGCAGAGTGGTTCAAATGAGTCTAGTGGTGAAGCCAGCGGTGAAGTCAGCATGGCATCCATAGCCGGCCTTCTAGATGAGCACTGAAAATCTCTCTCCGCTGACTTCAAAACAAATATCTCGACACTTGAGACAAAGTTAGACCGCATTCAGTCCACGGTGTCAGACCACGCTCTTAAGATTACGGCGCTCAAGTCCAATGCCAATCTACAAGACTAATGTCTGCTCGCACTTGAGGCTACGTGTGCTAAGCTAACGGAGAACAACGCCAAGCTGTCAGCCAAAGTCACCGACCTCGAGTCGCGCAACAACATCAGATTCATCGGCCTACCTGAGTCCATCGAGGGGCCTCGCCCTACCGCCTTCTTCTCAGCGCTGCTTGTGGAGGTCTTCGGCACTGACGTCCTGGATTCACCGCCCGAGTGTGACAGAGCCCACTGGGCTCTCACCGACAAACCGAGGTTGGGACAGAAACCCAGACCCGTCATTATCCAGCTGCACCGCTTCTAGCAGAAAGAGAAGATCATCCGTGAAGCCCACACCAGGAGAGGTGAGCTGAAGTACCGAGGCACCCCCATAGCTGTCTATGAAGACTACGCTCTGGAGGTAATGGAGCAGCGTAACACCTACCGTGAGGTGATGGCCGAGCTGTACAACCTAGACCTCCGGCCAGCCTTGCTATTTCCTGCCAGACTCACCATCACCATGAAGGAGGGAGGTAGGAAAAAGTTTCCTTCGGTGGAGGAGGCTAAAGACTACGTAGCATCAATCCGTGCTAATATTGATTAGTATGGCTGCTTAAAATGAACATATCCGACTATTCGTCGGACTGTTGCTAACGCTACCAGATGACCTCTTTCCTGCTACATTGGCCTGTTGCTAAACTAGCCTCCTTGTTAAAAGACTGTATATTTGGACTGCGTGGACCTTTTTCTGAACTGATAGTTATAACAGCTGACCGAAAGCGACCGTTTCTTTAAAATGTATTTTGTTCTTTTCTACATAAAATGATGACTTATGAAAGTTTCTGAAGGCTACATTTATGTCTGAGGTCGGTCAGGTTTTTTTGTTGTTGTTGTTGTTTTTTTTCTCTTTGTTTAGTAAAATTATAGCTTGAGGAAGCATCACCCTGAAGCATTTATCAATTAAAAAGGTGGTGATATATTATAAACGTTTTTGTTTGTTGTGCTTGCTCCAAGGTGCTGATAACAAAGAGTCTCTGTTTTGACATTTAGCCCTTATTTTCAGATATAGAGATGATTTATATTTATTTATTTATTTATATTTTTAATATTTCTTGAGGGTAATTAACATCACAGATAAAAAAAATGAAGCTAAAAGAAAAGGGTTTTGGTTTAATGTAGCTTTTCTTGGGCGTTATACACGCCACTCTGTTATTTATTTTTTACTCACTTTATTACTTTTTTGGGGGGGGGGGGGGGAAAATGTGTAAAGGGGCCTCTGGCTCTGATTGTAAGTATAGTATAAGCATAGTCAGCTCTAGACATTTATCTTGGTTTATTAAAGGGGGAAAAAGAGGAAAAAAATATTTATTTATTTATTATTACCTTTTTTTTCATTTTTCTTTTCCTTTTTTCCCTCCTCTTTTTTCTTTCTCAGAACTATCAACATGATGTTGCGGGAGAAGAGGGTTAGGGAGTGGGAAGTATAAAGATATGCTGATTATTATATCAGAGTGTCTGCTGCTGTTTTTTTGGCAGCAACTGGGCTAGGGCTTAGGTTAAGGGGAGGGGTTGGGTGGGGGGAAGATTATATGTTTGTTTCATCAGTTAGGTTTCTTATTTTGTTTTATTTTCTTTTATTGTGTTGTTCTCACTTGAGTGCCATAGTTAAATACAAATACTTAACTCGGCTAGGTGCTTTAGTTTCTCTAGGTGTGCTGCTAGCTAACAGGCAGCGGGTGCCAGTCATGGGGGAAAGAGGTGTCCAAGCTCACCACCCACCCAAATCTCAGTATATTAACTCATTTACTAGTTGGAACGTTAAGGGTCTGCATTCACCTATAAAATGCAGTAAGGTGATTAACCATTTAAAACATTTAAACACTAAAATCGCCTTTTTGCAGGAAACCCACCTCAAGCCATCAGATCACCTTAAGCTCTGCAGAGGATGGGTAGGCCAGCTATATCACTCTTCATTCTCAAGTAAGGCCCGGGGGACTGCAATTCTTATCCATAAATCAGTTCCACTTTCTGTGTCTAAAGTCATATCTGACCCTAATGGTCATTTTATTATTATTACAGGGAAGATCTCACATACTAATTTGATTTTAGCTAATGTGTATGGTCCAAACTTTCTTTTCTCCATCCCTGATCTGAACTCCTCTCAGCTCATTCTCGGAGGCGATTTTAACTGTTGCCTTGACCCTGTACTTGATCGATCATCTAACAAACCACTTACTCAGTCGAAATCATCTAAAATCATTCAACTGTTTATGGAACAATATGCGATTTCAGATGTCTGGCGTTTTTTTAATTCAAGCAGTAAGCAGTTCTCTTTTTTTCTCCTGTTCAAGGTACCTTTTCTCAAATTGATTTCTTTCTTATCGATAATAAATTACTTCCATCTGTCACATCATGTTCTTACAGTCCCATTGTAATATCAGACCATGCGACAGTTACAGTTGACATCTCCCTCACTGGCAGGTCCCTGTCACGATCTCCTTGGCGATTCAATTCGCTACTACTTACAAACCCTGATTTTTTTAAAACCATCAAAAACTGCACTGATTTTTTTATTTCCACCAATGTTAATTCAGATGTATCCGCAGCAACAATTTGGGAAACCTGCAAAGCCTATCTACGGGCAGAAACTATATCTTATTCTGCCCAACAGGTAAAGATAAATAGGGAAAAAAATAAATGTCTGTCCAGGGCCCTGTCAGACCTGCAGGCAAGATGTGCAGAAAATCCTAACTTGGATTTACTTAAAGAACTGCTCACAAAAAAGGCTGAGCTTGACATCTTGGCTTCAAACGTGGCTACTAATTTGCTGCTAAAAACACGCGATAATCATTATGAGTTTGGAGATAAACCAAGCAAATTACTACCTCACCAAATTCAACAGTTTTCTTCATCATCACATATCACTCAAATTAACTGTCCCTACCATTGATTCTGAAATATCCAGGAATCTGGATGAGCCCTTCACAATAGGTGACATCAAAAATGCTATCATGGCGATGCCGAATGGAAAATCTCCAGGCCCTGACGGCTTTCCTGCCGAATTTTAAAGACCTTTGTTGATAAATTATCACCTCTGTTGTTAAACATGTTCAACGAATCACTCAAGCTTGGTATTCTTCCCCCAACATTACGCCAGGCTACCATTTCTCTTATATTAAAGAAGGACAAAGATCCTTTATCCTGCAGTAACTATCACCCCATTTCTTTGCTTTGTGCGGATGTTAAGGTATTAGCTAAAATGCTAGTAAGGCGTCTAGAATCTGTTCTACCAACTATTATTTCCATTGATCAAATGGGTTTTGTTAAAGACAGACACTCATTTCACAATGTTAGACGGCTTTTTGATATTCTGTACTCACCACCCTCTCTCGACACTCCAGAACTGGTCATTTCAATGATGCCGAGAAGGCGTTTGATCGGGTGGAATGGCCGTATTTGTTTTACACTTTGAGGAAATTCGGTTTTGGTCACAAATTCATTTCATGGATCAAACTTTTATATACATGCCCCTTAGTTTCCATCCACACAAACAATGATTATTCCAATTACTTTTCTCTCAAACGTGGAGCTTGACAAGGCTGCCCCCTCTCCCCTCTACTGTTTGCCATTGCCATCGAACCGCTGGTGGTGGCTCTTCGATCTAGCCAGATGCAGGGCATCTCAAGGGGAGGCATAGAACACAAACTGTCCTTGTACGCTGACGACCTTCTTTTGTT